TATGCGCGAGGGAAATAGGGTGTTACATAGTTGGTATCAGAGCAGGTCGGTCCATCCGGCCAGGTTTATGTAATTTTGTGTATTCCATGGTATGTGACATGTGTGTGAAACACTGCCGGTACTCCTTTATTTCTAACCACTTATTATTAAGAGCAGGATTGAAACAAGTGGGAGGGGGAAACATTTATTTATCTGAGATGTTTTAGGTGTGGAGAGTTGGTTCATTGTGTCGTTGTTTGTAAGAGTGCATGTTGTTGGAGGAGTCAGTATTGTTTCCTGAGTTTGTTAAAGATGAAGATTTGAAGTTCATATTAACTGTTACACCAAGAAAGTGAGGTTTTTAGAGTTTGTTGGAGATGAAAATATGTTTGTATCGGCTAATCAAGTAAGAGAATCCTTAAAGGATGGTGCGCAAGTGTTGATGATGTTAGCCCTGTTAGAAGCCAAAGGCAAGGGAGTAGTTGGTGATCTTCGGGTTGTTTATGATTTCCCATAAGTGTTTCCTAAAGACATAACAGATTTACCGACAGAGCGTGAGGTTGAGTTTTCTATAGATTTGGCACCAAGTACGAGTCCGGTGTCAGTGGCTTCTTATCGAATGTCAACTTCAAAGTTAAGTAAGCTGAAGATGCAATTAGAGAATTTTATTGAGAAGAATTTTATTCGTCTAAGTGTTTCGCCAAAGGGGGGTAGTGTTGTTATTCAAGAAGAAGGATGGTAGTATGAGGTTGTGTATCAAGTACCGACAATTGAACAAAGTAATTATTAAGAATGATTATCCACTTCTAAGGATTGATGACTTGATGGACCAATTAGTAGGTACTTGTGTTTTCAACAAGATTGGTTTGAGATTCGGTTACCGTCAGATTCTTATAAAGGTTGAAGATATTCTAAAGATTGCTTTTAGAACGAGATATTGTCATTACGAGTATTCAGTGATGTTGTTTGGTGTGTCTAATGTTCCTGGTGTGTTAATGGAGTATATGAATAGGATTTTCATCTCTATTTAGACAAGTTTCATCGACGACATCCTGATTTATTCGAAGACAAATGAAGAGCATGCAGATCATCTGAAATTGGTATTGGATATTTTGTAAGAGAACAAGTTATATCCTAAATTGTCTAAGTGCAAGTTTTAGTTGAAAGAAGTGAGTTTCCTTGGTCATGTGATTTTTAGTGGAGGTATTGTTGTTGACCCTTCAAAGGTTTATACGGACTTACAGTGGGAGACTCCGAAGTCTGTTATTGAGATTCCAAGTTTTCTAGGGTTGGTTGGTTATTATCGCAGATTTACTGAAGGTTTTTCTAAGTTAGCTTTTCCTTTAATTCAGCTAACGAGGAAAGGTCAAGCTTTTGTTTGGGTTTCTTTGTGCGAAGACAATTTTTAAGAGCTCAAGAAGAAATTGACGTCGGCTCATGTTTTGATTTTGTCAAGTCTGACTGAGTATTTTGGTGTGCATTGTGATGCTTCTTTGATGGGACTTGGAGGTGTGTTGATGCAGAATCATCAAGTCGTATCTTATATTTTAAGGCAACTCAAAATGCATGAGAGGAATTATCTGACACATAACTTAGAGTGGCTGCAGTTGTGTTTGTGCTAAAGATTTAGAGACACTATTTGTTTGGTTCAAGATTCGAGGTGTATAGTAATCACAAGAGTCTGAAGTATCTTTTCGACCAGAAAGAGTTAAATATGAGACATAGAAGCTGACTTGAGTTTTTGAAGGATTCTGACTTTGGTATGAGTTACCATCCTGGTAAAGCCAATGTCGTAGTTGGTGCATTGAGTCACAAGACCTTGCATATGTTAATGTTAATGGCTAGAGAGTTGGATCTGAACAAAGAGTTCAGAGATTTGAGTTTGACATGTGAAGTCACGCTGTAGAGTTTGAAGTTAGGTATGTTGAATCTTAATAGTGATATTCTTGAATAAATTAGAGAAGGTCATAAGGTGGACTTGAAATTGATTGGTTAGTTAACTTCAATCAATCAAGGTCAATGTGGTGATGTCTGAATGAAATTCTGAATTGTGCATTTTGAACTAAACCAATAATTCAAAAGAAAAAAAACATGCATTCAGTCACGTGATCAAGTAAATTGTACAAACCTATTTTGAAATAGGTAAGTAGATGATGATTTAAATAATATTTTATTCAAATTGAGGCAATGTAGGGATTCTCGAATTTGGAGATTTAGAAGTTTAAACTTTTGAAATGATAAAGTAAGGGAAAGAAGAAAAAATGTGTGGCTTAAAGCAAGTTTCATATTCTAAAATTCATAATCTTCAAAAATACATTTTTGTTTCTTATAATTTGGGAGGTATTTTATCAATTCAAGAGGTTTTAGGAGTGGGAAAAACAAAACTCAATGAATATAACATTAAAGATAAGAGTTTAATGCACCCTTTATTTGTAGTCCACAAACCATATGTCTAGCAAGTAACATTTTGTAAGGGGATTTATTTTCCCACCGTTATACATTCTCACAAACTCTGGTAAAAATTTAAAAATGTCCATAGAATTCAGAGATGCATCTTCAAACACACCCATTTTTCACAAAATTGAATGTAAAAGAGTGAGTCACCCCTATTATACTTAATTTTAGTCCAGAGTTGCATCTCTAAAAGTTTATTAGATATATTTCAGAGATACATATCCAAAAATGGCACTGATACTTCAAACTATAAACAAAAAGAACTTGACATTAAATTAAAATACTCAACATTACATAAATAATCGTTAACATAAATTTAACATTACATATCGTTATAAACTGCTAGTTGAGGACAATGCAACATATTATTAATAACTTCGACGGATCTTGCAATCTTCGCATCCACTTCAATCAGACCTTTTGATGCATAACGGTAAAAGGTACTCCACATAACCTTAAATCTTCATTCGTTTTTAGTTCAAAGTTGGTGAACTGTATCTTCCCTTCGCTGTCAAATGAGGGTGAACGATACTAGAGCTTGACAACTCTTCGATTTTTTGGATATCACAGGAAAATATTCAGTCTGGATATCAGATCGGTGAGAGGTATGTCCACGGTGATTCTAAATTGAAGTGGCGGCTTCGCGCTATTGAAATACACAAATGCAATGTGATGATATGTATTCATTCTTTGATTGTGGTGTGTTTTGTAGAAAATATGGGATGAGAGACACCCATTTATACAAGTTTTAGATCACTTTGGACCTTAGAAACTTTATCTTGTCATAAGGGCACTTTTTGGCGATGCATCTCCGCTAAACCCTATTTTTTTACGAAAAAATGATGTTTACGGATATGTACATCCGTAAAGTTTTCTGTTGTGTTTTTTTTTTATAATTTAGTATGGAATGTATTTGAGTATACATATGCGGAATCACTATGAACCAAAATCATATCAAAAACTGTGTAAATTTAAACAAGAAATGTAAACCATAAAATTTGTAAAAAGAAACAGTCGAAATTTACACCATCATTGCTGAATATATATATATTAGTTATGTATTAAATCGTATCGAGATTACATCGTTGACGATAATGTCACTAAATGGTTATATAAGTCAGCTCAATGAAAAACGCAAAGTAAATGGGTTCAGGGTTGTTTTCAGAGATGTATCTCTGAATACATCCTAGAAGTTTCGTAGATGCGTCTCCGAACCAATTTTTAACCAAAATAGAATGAGTGTTTGATTTACGAAGGATAAAGTGATTTAAGGTACGTCCAAAGATATATTTTCAAAAATATCTAAAAGTAATTTTAAGTTTTCTGAGGTGTGAGCCATACTCTAAAGATGAGAAAAAAATCCTCATTTTTTAATTCGTTTTCTACTAAATTAAAGACTCGATTGTTTCAAAAAAAATTTTAAATGATTTATAGTATTATATTCTTTTTGTTAAAAAAAATACTTATAATTAAAAAAAACATCAAATAAAAAATTTGTTTAAATAATTTAATATAGAATATTATTTTAAATACTTTATCTTTTTATTATAATATATTTTATATTAAAATTTCATAAATCACTTAAATGTAACTTATTTTAAATAACCTTTCATAAAAAATTATTTTTGAGATATAGTTTTTTTTTAAATTATGTGATTTTGATTCAATAATATACAGAATGCTAAAATTAATCTTTGAACTTATAAAAAAATAAACTAAAAGAACTTTTACTATTTTAAAAATGATTTTTAAAGATCATAAATGTGTTACATTTTTCTTCTTTACCCAACACCTTCATTTTCCTAATTCGAATTTCTAAGCATGTAGACATATATATATTTTCCTAATTCGAATTTCTAAGCATGTAGACATATATATATATATATATATATATATATATATATATATATATATATATATATATATATATATATATATATATATATATATATATATATATATATAGTTATTATAAGAATGAAATGAAGCTTTTCAGATTTTCACATTTCAATATATGGTGACAAAACCTCAGTTTTAAATCGGTTCTGAAACAAAAAATCACATTCATACTAATAACCAAACAAGTTGAAAGTTTGATTCAATATGTTAAATGAGAGTTAAATGTAAAACCAAAAACATACTAAGAAGTTGCAGAGAGATTTGATGCAAAATTCAACAACTTAAGAATATAAATCGAATTGAATCTCAACCTATGAAACACGGCCACCCCAATAAGGACTCTGACACTGATACGGTGACACCAATAATAATTTGAAAAAATGAATAAATTAATCATAATCACAAATATCAGTGCAAGTGTCTGACACGGATACGGACAAGACACATCTTTTTTCAGAGGCGGTATTACATAGATCTCTATCTATGACAGACCCTTTGACCATCCTATACAATTTTAATAACTAAATAAAATACAAACTCAACACTAAAAAGTACCAAAACATGAAATAGAGGAGGGGATATTTGCATGTTGCATGCTAACATGGATCCCTTCGCACCTATAAATCTTCTCTTCCCATTCTATCAAGTTTGATTGAATAACAATTGTTTCAAGCTCGTTTTTTCCTCGCCATTGCAGGTCTTTTACCAAAAGCTGATGACGATTTGAAGGAACTTGTCAGCAAGCCTCTCAAAGTCGCTAAAATACCCAAACACATGAAAGGGAAATACATTGTCAATAGTTTATCAGATGCTTTCTTCGATCCCATCATTTCTGATAATACAGCAACCTGCAATCCATAAACCACACACAATCAAAAGATGTAAAGTAAAAAGCAAGATATAGAGTCCCATTAAGCTAACTCGGTTGGTAGTTGTGCAGGGACATCATATTGTAAGACCAAGGGTTCGAACTAGAGACATCTCACGGATTCACCTTTAAGAAAAAAACAAGATATAGATATCCAAGTTGTATCAAATCACATTGTGCCACCAACTACATATATCTCGGATGAAAAGTTATCTTAATTTATATTTAACTTAACCTCACAACAAACTGATAAGATGAGAAATACTTCTAAATTATAAACCCATTTTTCAAATCATATCTCATCAATTGTGGGAGTATTAACACACAACCGTTGCATCTAATAGAATGTTCTAACAGATTATGAATATATATGAAATAATCTTAAAATTTAAACTAAGTCAAATTCAACTATACAAAACCGATTGATAAAGTGAGACATGTTACTATTGATAAACTCTTTTTAGGCCTTATATCGTTTCAATATGGCATCACCGACCTTATACCCTGGTTTTTGAGAATGAGTTAATCTCAATCCAAAAACCTAACAGACTAATACACCTCCATTATCGGTGAAACAAATGCATTTTACAAAGCCAATGCAGAGAGGTTACAGATCAGAAGAGAAATTTGAAAAAGCCATGTAATAACTCTACTAATAGGTTCTAAGAGCCGATCCTGTGTAGGTTAGATGCAATTTAACCATGGCAAAACAAATAGAAGCCTTATTAAACACACAATTTAGCCTTGACAACATTTTAGAGGACCTATTTAACCACAGTTAAACGTAAAAATATTTGGGTTGTATTAAATTAAGAGAACAAACTTGATAACAATTTGCATAACCCTCCAAAGACGGCATTTGTTCTAATTAAATTTTGAATCTTATTCAATCTACAAATTTGCATAACCCCAATTAAGTTTTGTATTAAATTAAGAGAACAAACTTGATAACAATTTAAACAAGATCTAACAACTACAAATTCAAACATAACAAGCTTTATAAAAGACCATTTTTCTCCAAATACAATCCAATAACAAAGCCTATCTTCAAATCAAAATGTTAATGCAACAAACCCAGAATGGGAATGAATCTAATCACAAACAACAGATTCCTACAAGTAATGATGCCAAATGAATGAATAATCACCAGCCAATAAAAAGTTTAATTTTTACCCAAAACACATGAGAAAAAATATCAAAATTTTCATTTTTCTCTACTCTCCAATGACATATAGAACCCTAATAATTCAATACTATCACATGACCCATATAAAAAATTAAAAAAAACGTAATGGGTTATTTGTAACAGATTGAAAAAGTAAAAATTTGCACAAGAAAAAGGAATTACCATGGAAGTGGAGAGAGAAACACCATAGATCAAGCAAGTGGTATTAAACCAAGGCTTGGAATAGAACATAGCATAGATATTGATAAGAGAAAGGGGCCATTGAAAGAGAAGCTCAAGCCAAACGAGACCAACGAAGAAATGGGGTTTGTCAACAACAAGATAATCACCATACTCATTGGTGTACCATGTTTTAACATTGACAAGAAAATCAGGGAAGTAAGAGAGGGGAAGACACGTTTGTGCATCTATCAATGGTGCAGCGATTGCTATCAATAGAAAGAACAGGAACAAGATGGCATCTACGAGCTTTAACACAAAACCCATTTTTTGATTTTGCTTGTTTGTTTCTCAGATTTGGGGAAGAATGAATTGGAGAGGAAGATTTATTGATGGATACAGCTTGCACGATGAGAAAGAGGAATGTTGAGCCCTTGAGGCAATTAAAAATGGTTTTTAAAATATATAAACAGTGGTGGCATCTATTTAGGGTTAATCATTAAATAAATGGTTCACTAGTTAATCACTTTATAAATCATTAAATTTATTTAAATGTTTATATGAGCAGAGGATATAAGTTTTGGTCAGTTTTTGGGTTTATCGGATATATATTTTATTGTTTGTTAATTATTTTTTTTGTCGATTCTTTGGAATTGAATCTTTTCATATAGTTGTGCATTTTAAAATTATGTGTTAAATTGTTTTTATACAATGCATAACTATTTGTTTAATTTTTTTTTTATTAAACGAAAGTATATAGATCAACGAAAAGCCAATACAGCATTACAAGAGGGACCATTCAGGCTGGGAATACGACCAATCCATGTTTTAGAACCCAATGATTTGCCAACTCCCACCATATGATGAGCATCCACATTATTGTCACGATTCACATACACTAACGCTAACGTTACATCAGTAAAACCATCTAACATAGACCTACAATCAGACAGCACTGGTTCCATAGCAGCAATAAAATATATATCATTAATATAATCAACTAGGACTAAAGCATCAAACTATAAAATGAAATTATCATTCTTCAACTCCTTGGCCAATTCGAGACACCATCGAATACAAATGATTTCAGTTGTGTTGGGCCAGCTACACTAGGCACGTGTTTTGAGGTTACTAGGAAGATGTTATCAGTTGGATCTTTGATTACGCATCCAAGCGAAACAATGCCATCAGAGAAACAACTTGCATCAGATTGAACCTCCCAGGACTTAAAAGCATGTTGTCTGTTAACAGGCGGTCTGTCCTTGCATCCTACACTAACAAACACTATTTTAGCCTCCTCAACAAACTCCTCAATCTTCAGGGTCACTGTAACACCCCCTTCTATACTCCCAAATAAAACAATAATATATATAGGCATATATAATTTTATCAGAGTATGATTTAAAATACGGTATAGAAGAAGTATGTCACATTATTACCAATAAAACAATCAACACCTGCTCTATAAAAATATGCAACAATGGGATAGTTTTCAAAGTAGAGGAACTTAGTCCTTAAACCCACGTCTCAATATTTAAAATTAAAGCGGAAGAATAAAACATTTGAATTACTTCAAAACATTTGATCACATAAATACATATTATACAGTTGTTCATCAATCATTCATGTTACAAAACATCATCAACTGATACATCACAAATGTATCACAAAAGAATGATATACAAGCCTAACTACCCGGTGTTACATAATCAAAACAGTCCGACTCAAAAGAATGAAACTATACTTCACAAAAGAAATCTCCAGCAACCTAATCTACAATGCCTCATAGAGCAGCATTATAAAACAGCAGAAGGGTGAGAAATATTACCATAATAATCAATGCATAAGATTATATATATATATATATATATATATATATATATATATATATATATATATATATATATATATATATATATATATATATATATATATATATATATATATATATATATATATATATATATATATATATATATATATATATATATATATATATATATATATATATATATATATACAAGTAACAATTACATATAATCCACATTTCTCACCACAATTCATTTTCAATATCATATGCATCATCATACATATACACGAACCATTCATGGATATTCAACAAGTATATTTCATCCTACATACATCCATATCCTCAACTTCATAATTCACAATCAAGCATATTCATATAATCAGGACATCCATGTTATGTGACTCAATCACGGCTCAATGCAACTCAATGCTATGTGGTACCAACACTTGTTATCATTTTTAGGTTTTTACACTTAAACCGGGTCCACCCTTCTAGACCGATAACAACAAAGCCCGTCCCCTAGGCTTCAAACCCACCCTTCTAGGTTTGGGACAAGCCACTAGTCTCCACGAAACTAGCAAACATTGCCTCTTGACTAAATGATGCATATGCAATCAACCAACAAAAATGCACTTAAGACCGTTTCCGCATCTTAATCCCATGCATTCAAATAATTCATCCCTTCAAGAATTACAACATGATTGCACACACAACATATTCATAAAAATTCAAGGCATTCACATTCAATACCATCATCACGCTCATCAAAACAATGCACACATACCCACGATATGTTCCCATGCATTACATACATTAGCATACAACAATATGCATTCACATACTTATTAGACAATACACACATATTCACTAATATGTTCTCATGTATCCCTAATCAATTCAAACAATACACATATCGCAATCTAGGATTCACGCTCAAAGGCTACCCACAGCTCATCACGATAGTACATAAACTATTCATATCACATAGGATTAACATAATTGGACCAAGCAATTAATCATTGGATGGATAAAACAGAACAGAAAAGGACAATGTTGTCCTGCTCGCCACCCTTCGCCTGGCGAATGCTCGCTGGGACCTTCGCCTGGCGAACTCGCCAGCGAACAAAAGTCAGTAGCTACTGACTTGTTTCGCTACCCTTCGCTGATGTACTCGCCTGGCGAACCTTCACCACTCACCTTCGCCTGGCGAACTTGCCAGCGAAGACCACTGGGAGTTCTCCTGAATTATTTGCCAGCTATTCGCTGGGCTTTGCCCGGCGAAGCTTCATCTTCACTCGCCTGGCGAGAGCCAGCGAACCTGCGATATCAGAACCCTCATTCTGTCCTAAAACTTCGACCCTCCCAAAAATTGACGGATTCTCACCAAACCAGTTCTAGTAATCTTAACCCCACATCACCCGACTATTCTACGATATTATTTCCAGTTTCTAACCGATTAAACTACGATTCTACCGATTAAATTCATTTTTGCCCTAACTTGAAAAATGGTGGAAACTCACAACAAAACCCAACCCACACATACATAACCACATACATTGACTAGATAATAATGTTTCTCACCCTTACCTTGATTGGATTGAAGCTTGAAGTTGAATCTTGATGATTTCTCCAAGTTTCCCTCTTCTCTTCTCTTTTCTCCTCTTTCTTTATTCTTTCTCTTCTATTTTCTTTCTATCCAATTCTTTCCACTTATTCCTTATATACTTCTATTATTTTCTTTCCTTCCCATTTCTCTCTTCAATTATCTACCAAATAAATCAAATTAATCCAAATTATTAAGATTAATTCCAATAAATCAATTAATTAACATAATTAATTAATTAATTAATGAAATTTGGGCTGTTACAGTCACTACACGGGGATCAGGAGACACCGAGTTAAAGATGATAATATTCCTAGCCTTCCAGATTTTCCAAATCTCGGTCATCACTGTTTGGACAATCGTTACCTCCTATTAGATATGGACTCAGCCACCCAATCAAAAACATCACCATCCGAAGGTATCGCACTCTCAAAGGGGAGGGGAGGAAAACTCTTTTAGCAAAGTCGCATTGCAGAAAAATGTGGGTGGAGCTTTTAGGGCATAACTGACAGAAAGGGTAAGAAATATCAAGAGAAATACCTTTTTTACTTGACTTTTGTTGGCATGATGCCTTTGATGTGTCTCCAGGTAAAGTTTTTTATACGTTCATGGACTACAACTTTTTAAAGATTCTTCCATACTTTTTGTCTTCCCCTTGTAAATGGGCCAGGATTATTAGCACGCCTCCGGTCCCTAATAATGTGATATGCAGTCTTGACAGAATAGGTCTCGTCCTTCTTTGAATGCCACAACAACTTGTCTTTAGGCATCGATGCTAAAAGAGGGATGTTGCTGATATGAACCACCACATTGTCTTCAAAAAATTTCTTGAGAACCTGCGTGTTCCACACACCAAGATCATCATCAATTAATTCATTGTCTTTGTTATTAATAACCAACACTCGATTTTGAATGGAAGGCTTGAAGCCTAGGACAGTAGGAATCCAATTAACTCTCTATATCTGCACAATTTCCCCCATTTCTTATCCTCCATCTTGACCCACATAAGATAACTTATTTTGCACTTAAAATGCTACGCTAAGCATAAATGGCATTGAACCCCACTAGAGCCTTTGTGATGTGACATCTAGGATAATACTTGCCTTTGAAGAAACTCCCAAATAGAGACCTATCACATTGCGTCAACCTCCAAAAGCATTTCCCAAGCAGGCTAACATTAAAGTCTTGGATACCCCTGAAGCCCAATCCTCCTTCTCATTTGCCTTTGAACATTCTTCCCAGCTCATCAAATGGGTTTTCCTCTCACCATTCTTAGAGCCCCACTAAAATTTCACAAGCATTGACTCTATCTCTTTGTAGCACTGATCAGGTATCTTGTAACAACTCATAATATAGGTAGGAATTGACTGCGCAACTCCCTTGATGAGGACCTCTTTACCAGCTCTAGATAGAAAACCTTTCTTCCACCCTTTAAATTTCTTCCAGACTCAATTAATAAACAATTTAAAAACCTCTTTTTTTGAACTACCAAACACAACAGAGAAACCAAGATATTTGGAGTGTCTGATAACCCCTCTGAAACCAAGTCTTACACGAATCCTTTCCTTTAATTCTTCCTCCATATTGCCACTGAAAGAAACCTCAGACTTGTCAACATTCACCAGTTGACCTGAGGCTTTTTGATATTTTGAGAGAATATGCAATATACAATCAACTTCCTCTTCATTTGCTCTTGCAAACAAGAGGCTATCATCTGAGAAGAAAATACAGGAAATGGTGGGAGCCTTTGTCGCAACCTTCACCCTATGAATACCTTTTGCAAGCCCCTTCTTCTTAAGAATACTTGAAAAACACGTCGACACAAATAATAAACAAATATGGGGATAAAAGGTCTCCTTGTCAGAGTCTTCGCTCAGGAAAGAACCGCTTGTTAGGCTAGCCATTAATAAGCAA